CATCATGGACACTACGCTGAGGTTTCAATGGTATCTATGGCCAGTATCTGCCTATCCTGGTACTGTATACACTTATCTGTTATAAGAATCAAGAGGGGGTGGCTGAATTCATAGAGGCTGGCTGATGGAGGATTCAAGAATCCTGGCTCCCAACTCTCTGTCTTTTTCATCTCAAAATAATTAATACATATCTCTGTAAATGCATCCCAGTTCAGGGCCTGATCCAATAGACACACCCAGAATTATCCAAGTTACACTTTAAATTCACTGTATCATTTATTATCCCTAAGTTCCTACAAATAAGTAGAGTATGTCCACTTTTCATGATAAAACTATGGTTCAGAAAAGCTAAATTATTTCTCTAGTGTCATATAGCTAGTAAGTGTAGAGCCAGGATTAAGTCCAGAATGTATAAATGCCAATTCAATCAAAAATAACCGGTTTTCTGTAAATATGGTTTTTGCTTGATTTGGAATTACACCCTTGCTTTGAATTATCAAATCAGCAAATAATTCAAAATTAGTAACACTAGATAGATATTTTAAAATCCCTTTAATTTTGTAATAATATTCATGCACTACAGCCTGCTGAAGCAAAAAAGCCAAAATAAAACTGTGATCTGATCCTATTTACTGCAGGTAGTAAGGCTCTGCTCCATTGGCAACAAAGGCTAATTAAAGCAAAGCAAAGTTGTCCTTCCTCGTGAAGACAGACACTGAGGTGAATAACTCACGCTTTGTTTGGTCACTGCTTTTTCTGTACATCCTTAAAGTATCAAAGAACCTGGTTCTTCCTGATGCTGGCTCCACTTCAACTATTTTTAATTTTCTAATTTCTAAAGTGAAGAAGGCTGAGGTGAGCAAACTGAACCTTTATCTTCATTGTTTTTTAAAATGTTGGAGAATAAATAAATAAATAAAAATGTTGGAGAAACTGTGTGCTATTTTCAGATTCTGTTAATTTAATAATAGTTGACAAATCACAGTGAGTAAGCAGGTCAAGAACCCGAGAAGACTGGATGATAAAATTAAAATATTAAGCACAAACTTTCTTATTAAATAGCTGGCATGTGCGTGCCAAGTGTGGAGAGTTTTTATGGTTCACTGGACTGCACTGTATGCCAGACACTTCAAAGAATGTTCCAAAGAGATGGTCAGACTTACTGGAAGTTTAAAGTTAAGCCTCGAAACACATAGTTGTCATGTGCTTTTGTTTTTTAAAGAATTTTATTATAAAAAAATAATTATGAAATATTATGACATTTTATAGGACAACTAATTCAGTTTCTATGAGCCAATGACATAAATATTTTTAAGAAAGAGAAAAAGAAAACAAGACAAAAAAAAGAAAAAGCAGTGGCCTGGATTAAAAGAGAATTAAAATATCTAACAACCCAATGCATTATGTGGACTTTATTTAGATCTTAATTCAAACAAACTAACCATAAAAAGACATTTTTGAGACAATCAAGGATGTTTGTTTATGGAATTGGTGTTAGATATTACCAATAAATTGTTAGTTTTGTGACTATGGCTTTCTGGTATCTAAGAAAATGTTCGTATTTTAAAGATGAATCCTTAATATATGAAGGGACAAAATTACATGATCTTTGGGACTTCCTTTTAAATATTTCGGCAAAGGAAGAAAAAAAAAACAAGTTTATCATCAAACTTAGTTATTGAATCAAGGTAATGGGAGTTTATTGTACTATTCTCTTATGCGAGTTTAAATTTTTCAAAATAAAAAGTTTCTAACAAAATACCCCCAAATTTAAATAATGGGGGAGGGAGGGGGATGTTCTGGTTATAACTCTATACCTTCCAGACCTGTGAGGAGTCTATGATGCTCATCATGAACTGTGTGAACAATTCTTTACAGATGAAACTAGTTTGTCTTTATTTGCCAGTGTGGTTTTAGTTAAACTCCCTGACTAGAGGAAAACATACTCTAAGGTCACCAAAATCATTCCCTTTCTTAAAGTTGCTTTGAATTGTCTCCCTGCTTCCACTATTGACCTTCTCTAGTCATTCACCCATTAACTAGGGTTACATTTAAAACCTAGTCCTCGCACTCTCTGCTTAAAACCCATTAATGGATTCCAGTCCCTGGAATACAATCTCAAACTCTCACATGGCTCATGCAGCCCTAGGTGAGCTAGCCCTGTCTCTAGGCCACTACCTGCACTCACATGCTTCTGTCTGGCTGGCTTCTTTCAGATTCCCAGTGGCTGAGGTCTGTCCTGGCACACAACCTTCCCTCTTGGAACATCCTTCCTGATCCATTGTTTTCTCTTTCATAGAATCCAAGCTCTTTTCTCTCTCAGCAGTTTTGACAGTTTGGGGGTTTATTTGTTTCATGTCTGTTTTTCCCACTCTTCTAAAATATCATGTGTATTTTATTTACCACTCTACAGCCAACATCCATTGTTTTCTCTTTCATAGAATCCAAGCTCTTTTCTCTCTCAGCAGTTTTGACAGTTTTGGGGTTTATTTGTTTCATGTCTGTTTTTCCCACTCTTCTAAAATATCATGTGTATTTTATTTACCACTCTACAGCCAACGATATTCAATATTTACTGAATCAGTTAAGAAACATTTCTCTCCAAGCTTCTAATCCCGTAAGTATCATGTGAATATTAAAATGTAGTTTTGAAATATTAGAAAAAGGGAATTTGGTGAAAGATATCCAAAAAGTTGTCTTAAACTGCAGAGGAATTAGGGTTGAGGGAACAGAAGAGGCATTTGAGAGGAGAAATATAAGAGGGCAACAAGTGATGATTAGGCTGCAACCAAAAACAGGGGACATGGCAACCCCACTGTGTTTCTTGGTGTGTTTGAATTCATTATTTCCATGTTCCTGTGATGCCCTTTCTGCTCAGTCAGCGCCCTGATTTCTGTCTTAGTTCTCTGCTGTGCAGTGAAGCATGACCCTTGCTAGTGGAAAGGATCAGGGGACAGGATCCAGACAACTTGCCAGTATCTCTCTCCTATGCCAGTGAGCCAAAGTTGGCAAGAGACATGCAAAAATGTACAAATTCAGAATCGCAGGGAGGTTGAACATACTGCTCTAAAGACTGAGGTTCAAACATACAAAATTTGAATCAGATGGTTAACAAATCTGAGCTATTGAACTTATACAACTGTACATCTATATTATTATTAAAAAAATTTAACACCGCATGGTGCTTATGAGGCACCAGGCACTGGTTCTAAGTGCGTTACAGCTACTAACTCATTTATAGAAAAAAAGAGTACACATTCTTTTGTAGGTTATGTGGAACATTTATAAAAAGTGACCACGTACTGGGTCACAAAGCAAGTCTCAACAAATACCAAAAATTCAATATCTATAGACCTAATCATATGTAGTAAAAGGACAGAAACATGTAACACAGCAAGTTCCTTGACAAAGGCAAGGAGAGGCAGGAAGGGAGAAAAGAGGATGGGTTAAGAGGTAAAGTTTTAGTCTACCTAACATGCTTTATTTGAAAGAAAGAAAGAAAGAAAGGAGGAAGGAAAGCAGGGGGAAGGAGGAGGAAAATAACTTGCCTGTATTCTTTTAAAAGGTCAATGTCATGAAAGACAAAGCCAAACTGAGGAACTGTTCAGAGTAAAGGATACTAAAGATATACAACAGAATGCAATGTATGATCTGGGATTTTTCTTTTACTGTAAAGTACATTATTAAGACAATTGCTGAAATCTGAATAAGGTCTGCAGATTAGATAATTGCATTGTATCAGCATTAGTTTCCTGGATTTTGGTAATTGTTCTCTGGTTATGTAAGAGAATCTCCTTGTTTCTAGGAAACAAGCACTGGAGTATTTTGGAGTAAAGACACATCACATCTGTAAATTTCTCCTAAATGGTTCAGAAAAAACTAATCTGCACATGTAATATAGAGAGAGGAGGATCAAGCAAATGTGGGAAAATATTAACATTTAAGAAATTGTAAAGGCTATATGGGAATTCCTTGTCATATTCTTTAAATTTTTTTTAAAATTCTGAAGTTGAGTTAAAATAGAAAAGAGTTATAGCACTCACTTGGAAAAGTGTGGTGTGGAGAACACCAAGGTCAAGGGTTCAGATCCCAATACTGGCCAGCCACGAAAAAAAAAAAGTTATAGCAATCATGGCAATCTCAATTATGAGTAAATGGGTGTTGCATTATCTTTACATTTTAAGTATTTCAAAATCTAAAGAGAAGATGATTGAATAAAGTGCCGAAAATCTTTCATAAGAGGAAACCCTGGTGTCAGAAGAGATGAGGCTATCATTCACCCCACAGAAGTCTGCCTTTTCACAAATGGAAACAAGGTGCCCTCAGGGGGCTGCATTCCTCCACAAGGCTTTGCAAGCAGAGGGGGCGAGAGCTTAGTCCCCACTCTCCCTGGAAGCCCAGTGGCGCATGGGTGCAGGGAACAACCTGCCGAACTCTTCAGCCCTGACCCCGAATCTTATTTATGTACTGTTGGCAGTTTTTCTCTATGACTAGGAACCTTTCTCTAGGATAAATAGATTAATAAACAAAATATCTAAAATTTATTTACCCATTGTTCAGTTCTTGTGCATACATGCCAATGCCGCTCAGTTAGCATTTATGGCATGCTCACTGTGTAAACAAAGTGCTGTACTAGATATAGTAAAAAGGTGTAAAAATAAATAAAAGTCATGGCCAAATGCTCATGCCAAACTCCCAATCTGGGAGTTTTCCCCCATAGGAAGGGTCCTGAGTCCCTATGTGTCCCAGTGGTCATACTGTCCACTTCCATTTTTGCTGCTTCCTTTCATTTTCATACCAATTCTGGGAGGTAGGTTTCATTCACTCTCATTTTATAAATGAGGAAGCCCAGAGAAATTAACTTGCCCCCAGTTTTACAGCTACTAAGTGACAAAGACCGGAGTTTACCTCAGGTCTGTCTGACACCAAAGTCCATGTTCCTTTCATGTTACCATGTTTTAGAAGTCACAAAAACATGAATACTGTAAAATTTCACTTACTCAACGCTCGGGGATGAGTCATGCTGGACAGATGAATAAGTGAAAGGCCATCCTCCAGGAAACATTGTTCAAACCTTCCAAGTTTAGAGCAGAGAAGACTCCAGAAGCCTCTGGGGAGTCTTTTCCTCCCTGACTTTCTTTTCCCTCTTGGGCTTCTGGGATTGAAGCCTGGTACACTTGGTTTCTAGCTGACACCTTCTCGAAAAGCTCCAGCCAAAGATCCCTTTTAGCATTTTTGTACTCCCAAAGCACAAATGAGACAGACTGATAATTCAGAAGTAATTTGAGTACATACGAAAGGAAGACAAGAAATATTTACAGCAAATACAGCCACCATTAAAAACAGTTTGGTTTTCAAAGCACAGCTTTCTGATACCAGATTGGATACCCACCCAATTCTGTATATTAAAACACTTCCATTTGGTCCTAGTGGGTGGGTATGGCATCGCAGGCCTGTTTCCCATCTCGCTGGTCAGCATTTTGCTAAATCTTGGCCAGGTAGCTTGCAGTATTTATCTTGCCCTTAGTAACCTTCCTGAATTCGTTTCCTCATCCTTACAAAAAGGGGATGATAAAATACCTAACTCATACAGATGAATGGAGAAACCATGTAGGTAATTAATGCATAGTAAGCGCTCATAAGTTATTTTTCTTTTTTCCCCCCATCTCTGCACACATATGTAATAATAATATCAATTGTAGCTAATGGTTCAGCACTTACTATGTCCCAGGGACTATTCTAAGCACTTTACATGAATGAACTAATTTAATCCTGACTTTCACCTTCATTTTGTAGATGAGAACATGGAGGCACAGACAGGACAAACAAGTTGCCCAAGTTCAAATGGCTAGTAAATAGCAAACCTGGGACTCCATCTAGCTGACTGGGCTCCAGAAGCAGCATTTTTAATCACCACATACACAATTGACCCCTGTGCTGAAAGCCAACCATCCACAGCTGCGTTCCACTCAGTTGCCCCTTCCAGTCCGTCTCCATCCCCAACCTGCACCTGCAAGCCGATATTAGAGCAAGAAGAGAAAGAATAGAGGGAACATAAAAAAGAGCCTACAAATGTATCCTATTGTATATAGAGACATCACTTACGATGGAAGACACAGCTACTTTATATTCTTCTGTACTGTTTGATTCTTAGAACAGGCACGTAGTACTTCCAAAATCAATAAAAAGTATATGTGATGGTAGACTCACTTTGGGGGAAAAAATTGCCAAGAATAGAAACTTTGGAAAAGAATAAAGGATTGCAGATGGGAGGGAATTTTTTCATTTGTTCTTTATTATAATATCAGCTGAACTGCATTAAAACAACTTATCAGTAAGTAGTGAATATTTTCCCATATCATTAGGATTGAGGTTAAGAGTAAACCTTAAAAACAGACATGGGTTGAATTCCAGCAACACTATTTTACTAGCCTTTTGAATTTTACCTAATTGTGTTTTTTCATCCATAAATGGGAATGATACATTTCATATAGGGATTTGTTAGGTTTAAGTAAGGCGATATAATTAGGGTGCTCGGTACTGTGCCAGATTCCTCACAACTGTATGACAATTTTCTTTCTACATCACTTTAATGGGTGAAGAGTATGCTAGCTCATGGGGATGTAACATGATTCTTTTAACCTCTCACACTGTTAAACATTTGGATGATTTTCAATATTATCGATAATATAAACAATAGTAAATTCCCCCCATACATTTCTGCTTGATCAAAGTATATGAACGTTGTAAACTTCTGACACACATTATCAAATCATCTACCAATATATAGGTTTACCAAGTTAAGCCTTCTCTATATTGTATTAAAGTTATTTATTCAACCTTGCAAACACTGGACATTATTTTAAAGATCTATGCTAATTTTACAGGCCAAAAATAAAACCAAGAAAACCAACTCACGTTATTTATTTTACACATTTATTAAACATTTCAATTTCTTCTTTTGTTATATTATAAAGCTCTTAGGTGCCTTAACTTAAGTATGAGATTGGTACAAAAATAAAAAAGTGATTGGAATAGGTAAAAAATTAATGTAGTATATTACAAAGGTGGCATTTCAAGTCATTTAGGAGAGAATGAATTTTTCTGACGGTTTTCAAAGTTCTTGCTGGAGCCTCCCCTGGGAGGATATGGGGCTAAGAGGTGCTGGCTATTGGGATAACTCTCATTCTTCCCTACCTTCAACTACATTATCTGTTTTAGATATTGAATTTATGGGTAAGCTTTGATCTGCCTGCCCTGGGGGCAAGGGTGGGGATGGGTGTAGGAGGTGCTGGCTGCTTGGGATAATTCTCATTCTTTCCCACCTTAACTACATTTATCTGTTTCAGATATTGAATTTATAGGTAAGCTTTGATTTGAACCGTTCTGTACCTGAAAACAAAAACAAAAATATATTTAATGCAAGGTTTTGGGACAACTGACATTTTGCAATAAATATATAAATAAAATAAAATAAGTTGAATCCCTCCCTTATATCATATAAAAAATACATTTCAACTGGATTAAGACATTAAATGGGGGCTGGTCAGTTTACTCACTTAAGAGAGCCTGGTGTTGATAACACCAAGGTCAAGCGTTCAGATCCCCTTACAGGCCAGTCGCCAAAAATAAATTAAAAAATAAACAAAACATTAAATGGGAAAAAACCCACACAAAATAAAAGGAAATATGGGCAAGCTTAACTAATCTTGGAGATGAAGCAGACTTTTTAAAAAATTAATTTTTAATTGACACACAATAATTGTACATATTTATGGGATACAGTATGATGCTTCAATACATGTACACAATGTATCAGTCAAATCAGGGTAATTGGCATATCCATCACCTCAGATATTTATCATTTCTTAGTGGCGAGAACATTCAAAATCCTCTCTTCCTGCTATTTTTAATATATATTATCATTAACCATGGCCACCCCACAGTGTATTGGAACACTAGAACTTATTCCTCCAATCTAACTGTAACACTATGCTCGTTGACCAACCTCCCCCCATCCTCTCCTTCCCACCTGCCCCTCCAGCCTCTGGCAACCACAACTCTACTCTTTACTTCTATGAGATCCACTTTTTCAGATGCCACAAATAAGTGAGATCATGTGGTATTTGTCTTTCTGTGCCTGACTCACTTCACTTAATATAATGACCTCCAGTTCCATCCATGTTGCTGCAAATGATGGAATCTCATTCTTTTTTATAATATTCCACTGTGTAAATATACCATATTTTGAAAATCCATTCATCTGTTGATGGACACTCAGGTTGATTCCTTATCTTGGCTATTGTGAATAGTGCTGCAATAAACATGGGCATGAAGATATTTCTTTGACATACTGATTCAATTTTCTTTGGATATGTTCCCAGTAGTGGAATTGCTGGATCACATGGAAGTTCTATTTTTAATTTTTTGAGGAACCTCCATACTGTTTTCCATAATGGCTGAACTAATTTACATTCCTACCAATAGTGTATAAGAGTTTCCTCTTTCTCCACATCCATGCCAGCATTTTTTTTTTTTTGACTTTTTCATAATAGCCATTCTAACTGAAGTTAGATGATATCTCATTGTGGTTTTGATTTGCATTTCCCCCCGACAGTAACTACAAAAACCAAAACACAACCTAGGAATAAATTTAACCAAAGAGGTGAAAGATCTCTACAATGAAAACTATAAAACATTGGTGAAAGAAACTGAAGAAGACAGAAATAAATGGAGAGATATGCTGTGTTCATGGAAGAAGTTAGATGATATCTCATTGTGGTTTTGATTTGCATTTCCCCCCGACAGTAACTACAAAATCCAAAACACAACCTAGGAATAAATTTAACCAAAGAGGAGAAAGATCTCTACAATGAAAACTATAAAACATTGGTGAAAGAAACTGAAGAAGACAGAAATAAATGGAGAGATATGCTGTGTTCATGGATTGGAAGAATCAATATTGTTACAACATCCATACTACCCAAAGCAATCTACAGATTTAATGCAATCCCTATCAGAATACCAATGACATTCTAAACAGAAATAGAAAAAAAATCGTAAAATTCATATAGAACCACAAAAGACTCCAAATTGCCAAAGCAATCTTGAACAAAAGAATAAAGCTCATGGCATCACATATGTGACTTCAACATATACTATAAAGTAGTAATAGCCAAAACAGCATGGTACTGGCAGAAAAACAGAAACATAGGGCCGGCCCGGTGGCGCACTGCTACAGTGCGCCGCTTGGGAGTGCGGTGGCGCTCCCGCCGAGGGTTCGGATCCCACATACAGACCGGTTCCCGCTCACTGGCTGAGTGAGGTGCGGGCGCAGCGCCGAGGGTTGCGATTCCGTTGCCGGTCCCCGTCTGGTACGGGCGCGACACTGAGGGTTGCGATCCGTTGCCGGACACGAAAAAAGACAAAAAGGAAAAAAAAAAAAAGAAAAACAGAAACATAGACCAATGGAACAGAATAGAAAACCCGGGGAAAAAAATCTACACATTTACAGCCAGCTGATCTTTGACTAAGGTGCCAAGAACACATTGGGGAAAGAATAGTCTCTTCAATAAATGGTGGTGGGAAAACTGGATGGCCACATGCAGAAGAATGAAACTAGACCCCTATCTTTCACCACTTACAAAAATCAACTCAAAATAGGTCAAAGACTTAAATGTAAGGCCTGAAACTATGAAACTATTAATAAAACATAGGGGAAATAATTTACGACAATGGCCTGGGCAAGAATTTTTTTGAATAATACCTCAAAGGTACAAGAAAACCAAACACAGACCACTGGGATTACACCAAACTAAAAAGCTTCAGCACAGCAAAGGAAACAACAGAGTGAAGAGACAACCTACAGAATAGGAGAAAATATTTGCAAAGTGCAAATCTGACAAGGAGTTAATATCCAGAATATATAAGGAATTCAAACAACTCAACAGCATAAAAACAAATAATCTGATTTAAAAAATGGCCAAACGATCTGAACTGACATTTTTCAAAAGATGACATACAAAAGGCCAACAGGCATATGAAAAAATGAAAAGAGCTTTTTCAAGCACACTGATAAAAGCCGAAACCATATCAAAAGGCACTATTTTTATTATTTTTTCCTAAAGTGTGTGCCTCTTATCTAGGTTCAAAATGGTTTTGCAACCAAAGAAATGTGGAAATGCTACACATCAATGACAGTGCCAAGAGGTGGCTTAGGGCACTAAGACCTGCATTATCTCTATCAGCATCCCCCAATCACCACAAAATACACAATCTGAATGAAACAATG